ATCTATCTATCGTTCTGTCGTTCTATCTATCTATCTATCTATCTATCTATCGTTCTGTCCTATCTATCTATCTATCTATCTATCGTTCTGTCCTATCTATCTATCTATCTATCTATCGTTCTGTCCTATCTATCTATCTATCTATCTATCGTTCTGTCCTATCTATCTATCTATCTATCTATCGTTCTGTCCTATCTATCTATCTATCTATCTATCGTTCTGTCTATCTATCTATCTATCTATCATTCTATCTATCATTCTGTCTATCTATCTATCTATCTATCTATCTATCTCAGCTGACAAAGTGCTGAGTTCAGCGTCGTTACAAATATAACTCAGCCTCTATTTTTATCATCAGAGCATTGGGGTCATCAGGGGTCTCACATTTCTGCTGCAGAAACACAGCAGATATTACGGTTCATCCTATAATGCGTGTTCACTTCTATAGCCGCACATCTCCACCGAGATTCGTCAAATTCCCCCTCCTCCTGACACTCTGGGCACCTCCGACGCTCGCTATGCTAATGCCGCCAACGGGCTCCCCCTCGCGCAGCCCCTGTTAAAACACCACAAAGACAGCCATTTAGACTTAAAAGACACACATAAACAAGAAAGGAAAGGAGAAATATAAAAGAAGGGGGCAAAAAATGAAAGCAGATGAAAAAGCAGGACGGGGAAGGGAAAATAAAAAGAGCTCCGGGGGGAGGGTGGGGTTGGGCTGGCTGGGCGAGAGGAGAGGAAGTCAATTATGCATTCTGAACCCTGGTCGATGTAGCCTCCGGGGACCTGGCTGCACACCTCAGGATCAGTAAATAATTGACAGATAATATTAATTGGCTGTGGATTAGTGAGCAAGTAGAGTATCGTGGCATTAATATTTGATCAGAAGATGATAGCGACTCCTGGCAGGGGCTGGGAGGGGCATCTGGGCCTGCTTTGCTGATTAGGGCCCTGTATAGGGAAGCGAGGTGGAGACAGACCCTGTGCCATATAGACTACACTGCAAAACATGATGATCTTACTCAGTATTTGTGTCTTGTTTTACTGTACAAATATCTACGCATTCTTAAATCAAGATTGCAGATGACTTAAGAACTCTTGTTTTCTGAAAAATTCATCAAAATTAAACGAGTTTATGCTTAAAACAAGAAACCATCTGCCAATTGGGTCAGAAAAGTAAACTTAAATCAAAGTGAAATTTTTTTTTTGACCCCATTGACAGACATATTTTCTTTTTTTAAGCACTTAATTTTGATTAATGTATCTTGTAGCTGAACTGAACTGGTTTCATAATGGATTAACTTTACACATTTATTGAACTGAACTGAATCAACACTGAACTGAGTTGAAAAAACGGTCTTTTTTAGAGCTGCTTTACAGCAGAATTTGACATTTTTTTCTCACATTTGATAAAGTTGTCATTGATTCTCTTTCTGACTGATTCTTCATTGAGTTTTTCATTGATTCTTTATACTATCAGTAACGTGCTAGTGATTTGAAAACAAGACTAAATATAGTCATTTTGCTTCTCAAGTAAATGTATCTTGATTTAAGAATGTTTAGATATTTGTACTGGAAAACAAGACCAAAATAATGAGTAATAGAACCATTTTTGCAGTGAATTACACCCCAGCCCCCCTTCAGAATCACAGGGATGGAGAAACAGCGCTGAGCATTAGACCAGCTCACCTCCCACTGGCAGCAAATTGCCGGCTGGATGATTCGAGACGTAGAAAAAGATATCAGACTGACTTTCAAACTACTTCTGCTTGTAGTTTCGGCGAGACCGAAGGAGGAGCGACAGGCCAAAACGCGCGTGAAAGAGACAGTGAGACTAGTGAGGCGTCGATCAGTGGAAGTCTTCCAGCACACGGACGGACGGCCAGCCGCTGAACTCCTGAAGGCTAATTAAAGCGCTGGAAGGAGTGCGTCTGTGACAACACAATGAGGAAATAGTTTGGAGGGGGTGGGAGACAAAAACACTCCAGCCCCAGTCACAATAGCCGTCTCTCCTTGCATCTACCATATGCTGTCATTTGTTCAGTCAAATCCCTTGAAAGTGACTGCGATTCCAGGCGGTTGGTGAGTACGAAGGACGTTTCCTCTGCGGTTTCGCCCCATAAGTCTGATCTAACGCTCCCCTGGGCCTTACACGCAAAGGTTTAAAGAAGTCAGCTCTATGACGATCACATCACACCCTTTTTAGGCCCGGCGAATATGCACAATAATGCATATTAAGCATGCATGTGTGTCGGCCATGCAAACAAATAAATGTTTTCTCAGTCATGCATATGGAGAATTACACTACCAGTCAAAAGTTTTTTATGTTTTTGAAAGAGTCTTTTCTGCTCACCAAGACTGCATTTATGGAAAAAATACAGTGGAAACAGTAATATTGTGAAATATTAATAAAATTTAAAAACTTTCTATTTCAATATATTTTAAAATGTAATTTATTCCTTTGATGGCAAAGCTGAATTTTCAGTGTCACACCATACTTCAGAAATCATTCTAATATGCTAAGTTGGTGCTCAATAATTAGTAGTACTCAATTATTATTAATAACAATGATTCCTAAAATGAGTAATAATAATCATTATTCATTATTTTTTATGTAAATACATTTTAATATATATATATTTTTTCTTTGATGAATAAAAAGTTTAAAAGAACAGCCTTATTTGAAACCTTTTATTTATTTGAAATCTTTTCTAACATTATAAATGTCTTTACAGCCACTTTTAATGCATTCTTTCTTAATAAAATTATTTTATTTGCATTTTACTTACCCCAAACTTATCATGGACTCCACAAAAAATATGAAGCATTTTCAACATTGAAATTGTCAACATTGATTATAATAAGAAATATTTCTTGAGCAGCAAATCAGCATATTAGAATGATTTCTGAAGGATCGATCATATGACACTGAAGACTGGAGTATTGATGCTGAAAATTCAGCTTTGCATTACGGGAATAAATTACATTTTACTATATATTACAATAGAAAACAGTTATTTTAATTTGCAAAAATATTTAATTAAATTTTTTTTTTTTTAATGTATTTTTGATCAAATAAATGCATCCTTGGAGAGCAGAAGAGACTTCTTTCAATAACATTATTTTAAAAAAAAACTTTTTACTTGTAGTCTTAATTGATGATAAATCTAATTGATGATAATCTGTGGGGTAAAAAAGAAAATAGTTTGGTTATTATTCACAGTTCACAGGAAGACTAAGGGGAAACATCACTAAATGCACATATTTTCACAGTTTCGTCAGAGGGAGACAAAAAGTGTTGAATTTTACATTTATATCCAAAGCAACTTATACTGCATTCAAAGTATACAGTTTGATCAATACATGCATTCCCTGTTAATTGAACCTGTGACCTTGGCATCGCTATAGTATGCTCCACTTTTTGAGCTACAGGAACTGTCTCTATAATGTGGATTAATGTGACCAAGTAATTTTATTCCGTCCTCTCTGAATCACTAATCCAAGTTACTCTAACAGTCTCAGGCTTCAGCAGATCTGAACTCTGTGTGACAGAGTTGCCTCAGCTGCGTTTCAATTCAAGACATTTAATGGTCTCCTGGATGTCATACGAACTGAGCGACTTTGACATTTATTTGGGACTAACACACAAAGGAAAACACTTGGAATTATGGGACATGAGCTGGAGTCATGCTTTTAGGAAAGTCAAAAACATGGCCTGAAACCATAATGAGGATATCCCAAGCTTTACATACACTACATCCATGACTCAAAAGACAATTTAAAGGTATAGTTCACCCAAAAATGAAAATGCTCTCATTTACTCACCCTCAAGTTCCAAACCTGTATCTGGTACCAAAGAGGTAGCCATTGACTTCCATAGTATTTTTTTTCCCCATACTGTGGATGTCAATGGCTACCGTCAAGTGTTTGGTTCCCAAAATTCTTCAAAATATCTTCTTTTGTGCTAAAAAACAAAACAAAAAAAAACATACAGGTTTGGAAGAAGAAGAGAGTGAGTAAATGACAGAATTTTCATTTTCGGGTGAACTGTCCCTTTAAGAAGAGCATAAGTGGTTATTAAATGCAGACGCATCTGCCCAGTTTAATATTAAACCAGGACGTCCCAAATCTCCGCAGTGAGCTGTGCCAAAGCTGAACAGTTGTCAGTGGCGATTCTAGGCCAAAACCAGAGATGAGCTAAACAGACCGTCTCAAAAGCAAGGCTTTTTCCCTTTTTGCATGATGTTTCTCTCTCACCCATATCATCATTGTTCATGGCCTTGCATTAATATTCATGCATGTCAACATGCATCAAACTTCTCGTCTACTCTACACAGATGTCTCTCATTGCGATGACACCTTGAGACACTGTCAATAATCAACAGCTGACGACCCTCCGTGCCAAGCACTGATCTCCGAACAGCGGATCCAAATCCCAAACAAAGCCCCTGGTTTTGTGACAGATCTGGAGACAGACTTCAATTCCCCCGTCTCACATTGTCGTTCCCACAAGCCTCCGCCTCCGACAAGTGCAGTTAACAACACAGGAACACATGTTCTATGTTAGGCCGCTGTTTAACAGCAAGAGTCTGGTTTGGTAAAGAGCCGAGGCCTCCGGTGACTGCCGAGGCCATCCAGGACAAAGGCACAGGGGTGGGAATCTGAAGCAGACTGTGTAAGCGCTTTTGGGAAAGTCAAGCCCTGTAATCTCATTGCCTGATTTCATAGAGTTTAACCAGTCGTTCCACTGAAAAGAGGCTGCTGTGTTAATCCTGGACTGGGGCGCCAGATTTTTAGATCTGCGATGGGAAACAAAAAAAAGCACACATTTAGAAACAAGTGGGTGCATCAGTAAGTTTTGCTCAGTTTCAAGTTTACTCTTGGTATGAACATCTCCCTTATTTGATCTGATTACTATGGAAGCTTACTTCCATACAATACAAAAAAAAAATTATAATAATTTAAAGGTATAATTGCAACTTTTTATTTTTGCCAGTTTATAGCTCACGATTCAGATTTTATATCTTGCAGTTCTGAGTTTCTGTCTCACTAAAAAAATCTGCAATTCCCGTTTTTACTTTTATATTCCTTGGCAGAAACAATTCTAACAATTTTGACTTTTTTCTTGCAATTGCAATTTTTGTCTTGTAATACTGAATTATATCTCGCAATTCTGAGTTTATATCTCCCAATTTTCTCAGAATTTAGAGAAAAAAGTCGGAATTGTGAGACAACAATTCTCACAATTCTCACTTTATATTTTGTAATTCTTAGTTTATATCTCACAATTCTGAGTTCATATCTTGCAACTGAGTTTATATCTCGCAATTTTCGGAGAATTGCAAGAAAAAAGGGCTGAAATGTGAGATATAAACTCAGAATTATGAGGAGAAAATTGTGTCCAAATTGTGAGATAAAAAGTCGCAATTGCATTTTTTTTTTATTCCATGGATGAAATAAGCACTAAACACAAATGTAAAAGGGGTCCAAAATGTTTTGAGCAATGATTCAATAAAACCACATTCAGGTTTTATAATTTGCAAGATATGCACACTACAAAAAAAAAAAAAAGTAAATGAATGAATGAACGAATGAATGGAAAAAAAAAAAAAAAAGCATTTAGGTGTATTTTTTTGTTTGTTTTCCAGTTAAAATACCTAAAAAATCTTTTTAACAAGATGAGCAACACCATAAAATATAAAAATTTGTTTTCACAGACTGTAAACGTATTTTGTCTTTTTATCCCACTTTTTTTATTTTACTTGTTTATTCTTAAAGCCAGAACAGCAAGATAAAATACACTCATAACATATAGTCTATGAAAACAAGTCTTAATATTTTATTCAGTGTTGCTGCACAAGAAAACGTTGTTTCAAGGATTTCTACATATTAAAAAAAAAAAAAAAAAAAAAATCCTACTAATTAAAATCATACTAAGCAGTCGTTAATGCAGGTACTCGATTTAAATGAGCGTTGCTTGAAACATCATGTTTGAAGTGGGATAAAAAATACATTCGGGAGCAATGCTGTGTCTGTGGACATTTGTGTGCTTTATCAACATGCACAGTGACTAATGTATAGTTATGAAATCGGTGTCCCTCAAAATCACAGGAGACGCTTCAACAGATGTTAAAACCAGAAATAAAAGGGCCTATGTGATATTAACCAGTACAGCATTTCTGATATGTAGAATCACTTTCCATAACAAGCTTCCTTAAAGATCTTTTCCTTCACTAAAACCCAGACTGCTTGGTAAATCCTCCTACGACTTTCCAAGGCCACAGCCGAAGAGACGACGGACCCATCAGTCTGTGCACAAAAAACCCTGAATATAAATGAAAGAAACAAAAACATATTAAACTGTCTTAATGAGAAAAGCTAAATGAAGGAAACGGCTCTTTAGAATAACACACTTTGAACACTTCATACGGCGGCGTCCACCATTAGTGTTCAGGAGTGGAGGACTGACAGCTCATTTCTCTGGAAGCTATGCTTTAACAATGTCAGTGATTAATACAGAAAGCCCATTCTCTGAAATGGCTCTTTGAATCTCAATTTCCTCTATAATATAACTTACAGCCAAGGATCATTATGAGTCATTTCGGAGCAACTAGAACCCGTTTGAAGTAAACATCATTAGGAAAACGTCTCCACAAGTCTGATTACAGTACATCCTTCGATTAAAAGAGGGAGCTAGAACTTGGAGATTTAGTTACGGACGTAATTACGACAAGCACACAAATATACAGATGCGATAAAATAATGAAAAATAAAGACATAACAATGGGAAGGTGAATTAGATGGTTGTTGAAATAAAAAGGTCTGTTTTTTTCCCCCTAGAGGATGAAGAAAACCCTGAATCTTTCTGCTGAAACCCATGATACATAGTCAACGGCAGCAAACTCGATGTACCGCAGGAACCCACTTACAACAAACAAAGTGCTTAAACTTTAAAAAAATTTTAAAAAGACGAAGATGTAGCTTTCACCTTTATCAGTTCGTCATCTTATTTTTATTTTTTTTGCACTGGATGTGGAGCGGGAAGGAAGTGTCTGTATCCTCCTTGAGCCCATGGATACTAGAAGGGATGTGATGTTGATCCGGCTTTATCCTCTGAGCTGGAGGGGGTGAAGCCGGCCAAAGTCCAAACTCCACAAATTGAGACAACCAGATGACATCTCTGATCCGTCCACGGGACGCTGCGACCGAAGTGGCTGTGTGAACCTGCAAGCAAACAGAAGTTTGTTTCAGTGTCCAGACTTTCTTACAGCTAATGACACATTTTCACAGGTCTGAGTGGTTGGAAGGTTAAAATAGACTAGTGAGGAATGATTTGTGAACAAAACCTCCTTTTTGAACTGAACAATTAAGTTGAACTGATTCGCAAAGTTTTCATAAGACACTCGACTGTAAGGGGAAACTATTTGGAAGTGACCCAGCTGACAATCTCCATTCCTAAGAAAAGATAATGAAGGTCTCATTAAGAGCGACACCATGAAAGCGAGAAAACTTACATCAATTAAATATAACCAAAAGCACTATTTCATGAAACAATCAAGAACACTGCAGTATTTATAGCATAGTATTTAACTACATGAAAATAAATCAAATAAAAATAAATAAATATATACACAATCAATCAATCAAACATATTACATGCCACACAATATCTAGGAACACTTTTTTTTTTTTTTTTGAGTTGGCACTTTTTATCATTGGACACTCCAAAAACAAAAAAACAAAAAACATAAAATTAAATAAAAAAAATTAAAAATTAAATAAATAATTAAAATAAATAAATAAATATAAACTTTTTAAAAATTTTGGATTGGTGTGTTTGAATTGCATAAAAAAAATTCAGATTTATCTGGATTACAGTTTTAACATTTAACAAACTAATTAACAATGTAATGCAAATTTGTCAGTCATGAATAAATTAAACAGGTCAGATTTCTGTAATGGTACTAATGACAATGTTTTAAATACACACTGTAAAAAAAATTCCGTAAAATTTACGGTAAAAAACCGGCAGCTGTGGTTGCCGGAATTTTACCGTAAAAAATACGGTAGCAACGTTTTAGATTTTAACTTAGTTTTAAACTTAGTTAAGTTTTAACTTAAATTTACAGTTAAATACCATAATTTCATTAACTGATATAATGTTAATATACCAACCTATTGAAGTACTAAAATCTGTTTTGTACCTTTGTAATACACGGATAACCACCAAATGCAGGAGGTGATGAGAAAGTCACATGATGAACCAAAGCCCATCACAAGCAGCTTTTAAATAATAACATATATAGAAGGTGCACAGTGTCATTCACACAAACACCAAACACCATCATGGTAACACACATGAAACTGAAATAATGCAATAAACATTAATTTAACAACATTAGGTGTAACACACAACCCTAATATACAAAACTGATAAGAAAAAACTAAAAAGAAACATAGTTATTTCAACAAAAAAACATCAAATTTGAAATATAACGCAGGGAATTCTGGGAATGTCAATTTACAGTTATTCACTGTAAATTATACAGTCTTTTTCACTTCCAAAAACGGTATACTACCGTAAAATTAATGTCCAATACATGTAATGTCCAATACAGTTTTTCACCGTATATAGTAGGGGAATTTACCGTTAACCATTTAACAGGTTTTTACTGTAGCATTTTTACAGTCTTTTACCGTTAAATTCACGGTCATTTTTTACAGTACCGGGTTTACATATTATCATCAACAAATCCAATTTGTTTCAACATTTAAACTAATTGAATATCGCTTGTTCTGACAGTTAGCCATATTTTAACGTTCATACTTTTTAAGCGGAATAACTTAATTGTTTTTTACAATGAACAAATTTATGCAGATTCTAACCATTTGAATAAATGAATTTTGAAAATAGGATTATTTACATAAAATCAAACAGTTGCAAACAGGTAATAAACTATGGCATGACTTTTTGAGTGCAGAAATTTTAACTATTTCTTACCTGCTTTATTCATGAACGACAGACAAATATGCATCACATTTTTATATAATGCATCACACGTTTATTTGGTTGTTTATGTTAAATGGGAATTTTATATGCAATGCAAATACATGCATCTTAAATTTTTGAGTGCAATAAATTAATTGAATTATCATCTCAGTCTACATTCTTATGTGTACATAACTCAATGACTTCAAACTGAAACATCACAGCATTGTAAAAATCCAGCAGACACTGACTGAACTGAAGTCCGTGGGGCATCTTCATGAGCGTCTGGAGGATGCTGTCCACACGTGGGCTTTGAGCGCCTGTTTTTCTGTACGTACTGCATCCTGTGCCTCTGTGTGTTGCACTACACACTCCCAGTGCGCTGGTTTCCAAGCAACCCATGTAACACAGGGAGCGTCGGCTGTCGGCGTCTCTGAACTGCGTGGAAACTGTAGGATGAAGAGAAGAAGGAGATGATTAAGCGGAGTGTGAAAACTCTAACATGCAGCTGGCCGATGCAGTGCATCGCTTACTTTCCATTGCACAGAGCACTGGACTTTGTTAAAAACAAGCTAAGCAGTGCACATGGTGTGTTTTCATTCAACTGATTTTCCCAAGCCATCTCTTTTAGACACAAGCAGACTGGAGCTGACAAGCCAGCGCCGTGTCAATCACACCAGAGGATGTTCTCTCGGCTTGTTTTCTTCCTGCTCTGATCCTCGGGGAGTTTGCACTAACCAGCATGGCCCTGGGCTTTCTTTCAGGGGCTGAGGGCATGGAGTGCTGCTGCTGTTTTGCAACAGAGACCATACAAAACCATACAGAGCTGGACCGAACTACCAAGTCAACACTGAAGAGTGCTTCTGTTTGGAGTACGGCTCCAAATCTGGGATTCTGCGGCTCAATCCAATTAACTGCGGCGTGGCGAGCACTAATTTAAAAACAAACGCATGCAAAACAAGAGCAAACAAATACTAAACTGAGGGGAAAGGTAAAGAAAGACAAACCTGTTAATGTGCAGAAACATTTCATTAAAGCAATATTCCGTGTTAAGTGCAATAAAGCTCAATGAGCAGCAGCTGTCGATCATGAAAAATTTATTTAAACTCAATTAACAGTTTGTAAAAACAAATTAAAACTGTTTACAGCTATTAGCTTGAATGAATGTTAAATGTGCAACTGCTATACAATTTAGATATTAAGTCTTTTTAACTAAAAAAAAATAAATTAAGTGTGTTTATGCTTAAAACAAGATAAAGAGAAAACAGAAAAATAATCATGTTTTCCTTTGAGGTAAGTTTATTTTTCTTAGATATTTAAAGCTTATTTTTCTCATATTATTACTTGTTCTAAGCATAAACTAACTTAATTTTTAATCTATGAAGCACTGTTTACATGAAATAAATTATGCCAATATGACTTAAAAGTTCATCCACCTTAACCCACTAATTAGCACAGATGAATGTGCAACTGCTACACTGTTTTAAAGTCATTGCATGTGTTCATATAAGACTGATTTTAAATACTTTACTTCAATAACACATAAAAGTTCATCCACCTAAAAAAAACTACTGTAAAAGGATGATTCCTGTAACTTGTGTAAATGCTATAATAAAAATAATTATTGATGTTTTTAAATGTTCCAGTGCAATCTGCCTGTAGGCTCTGGTTAAGTTCTGTAAGTGTGTTACTGAATCAACAGCACGTCTCCATTCCATTGACAGAACTGAAGTATTTAACCCAGAATATTGCTTTAAAGCAGAGATCAGCCCCTTAAACAGTCATGTTACAACATTGGCTGCAACGGCAGGCTAAATCTCAGCAGACAGAGCAACACTCGGAGCTAATTAACCCATTAGACTCAAACGTGTTTCCCAACATGCACTTGAGATCAGTTCCTATCAGAGTTTGCCAGCGGAGAGGCCCTTTGAAACAGAGCCTCTCAACTCTTCTGAAGAGCGTCCCAGATGGTTCCTTTGGTATTTTCTAATAAAAAACAGCAATGTTTCCTCCGCATAAAGTCTGTTTGTAAACCACCAGGTTCCCACTCCTTCCTGGTGGTCATTTAAATGAGAGGGTGACCTAAAAAAGAGCCGGCGTGACTCACGAAGACGTGGGAGAGGAACGCATGACTAAGATGACTGAACAATATCAACCACAGATGAAAGTGTCTCGGCGTTTTATTCATTACCTAAAGCAGACTCCAGCCTGGAACAAACCCCACCAAACACCTCCGGAGTGAAAAGTCACGAACCACGCAACAGATCTGAGCTTTAAGAGCTTTCCTTAATTGCACTAAAATGACAGAATGTGAGAAATAAGACAACAGAAATGCAATAAAAGTAAGGCTCGGTTCAGCCAAAAATCTTTCACTCACCCTCATGTTGGTCCAAAGCATTTTGAAGGATGTTCATGCTGCTCTTTTCCATGCAATAAAAACCTGGACCTGTCAATGGCTGACAAGCTGCTAAAGTGACAAAAAAGGTCATATAAAAAGTTCTGAATATGCGGTAGCACATAAAATTTGAAAGTCACAGTGGACTGGAAGAGATTCAGTGAATAAAAATGTACATTTCAGTCTTCTTCCGCACATAAAACTATATATGATGACTTTAGAAGACTTGGAACATAGCACATACATTGTAAAAATGATTTTTCTAAGGTTATTGGATTACATTTGACAAGAAAACACAATTTCAGTCTTTCCTGTTACGTTTAATTAAATTTATTGCCCTTTTTTGTGAAATTTACAAGTGAAAATTACACTTTTTCAGTGTTGTCATATGGATATGTCATTTTGGTGCTTATTAGACCATAGTCATTCTGCACAAAAATGAATAAATAAATAAAAATAAAAAACAAATGAATTAATTAATCAATTCATTAATATTACTCATATTTTCTTTGTATCTTTTCCCCTTACTTTCCAGAACATATACATAAAAATGTAAATATATATATATATTTAAATATCTTAAATCACAATACATTTACTTGAGAAGCAAAATGACTTATTATTTTCTGCAAAAGCAATCAAAATTGTGTATTTTTTGCTCAAAACAAGAAAAAGCTGCAAATGGGATAATAAAGATAATCTTGTTTTCACTTTGAATTAAGTTTATTTTTCTTGATATTTTTCTTTTTTTAAAGCATCAACTCACTTAACTTTCTTGTTTTAAAGCATTAAGTCACTTAACTTTGATACAGTTTTCATAAAACAAGATTACTTCATATCTTAAGTCATTTTACTTCCTACATAAGTGTATCTTGATTTAAGAATATGTAAATATTTGTATTGGAAAACAAGACAAAAATACAACACGATATAACACAGTTTTGCGTTCCATATAATAAATGAGGATTAGGAACAAAATATAGTTAAGCACACGATGAACACTGGTTTTGGGGTGAACTGCTCCTTCAAGAGGCATGCGTGGCCCTTTTTCTGCAGATGCTCTAAAGATCCTGACGGTAGTTTTGTTTGTAACACTATTCAGGTCAGTCTTGCCACGGGCGCCCCCCTTGGGCCTCACTAAACCGTGCTACATCAGGCGGCTCGGTGCAGGGTTTTTTCCGGAGGTACCTGCACTGAACATGCCAGTTTCTATAAATGTTTGCAAGAGAAAAAAAACCTGACAGGTAAAAAGGGCTTTTGATGGGATAAGGAGGACAGTGAGAAAGGGAGGCAGGCGTGCGTATGTGAACTGTGGTGCCAGGCCCCTGGTCACAATCACACAGATTTGCATTCCACTCTAACAGGATATTGCCCAAAGTCCCCCTGAGGAGCTTAGCCGTCGTGTTGGACCTTAACTCCCAGTGTGCACTGCATCGCTCACACACACACAGACACAAACACACACAAATAGACACTTTTTCTCTCTCCCCCTCCCTTTCCTTTCTCTCCCAGCTTAATCCCCTCTGTCTCCTTTCTTTCTTTTAGCTCTTTCAGTTTAACTCTCACACTCTTCATCATCTCAGCTGCTCAGCCCTCCACTCGTCTTCTCATGGTCCCCTCAAACATTTAATTAGCTTATTGTTGTACATCACTTCTCTTACGGTTCGTTTTAAATCAGACACAAACACAAAAGTTAAATATGAGAACTTTGTATATATGTGTTTTGACATGTACACTCTCAGAAAAAAGGTACAAAAGTTGTCTCTGGTGCCGTACCTTTTTGAAAGGTACTAATATGTACCATTTAGGTATGTAATATGTGCCTTCAAGGTACAAATATGCAACTATAGGGGTAAATAAGGTACAAAAGTGTACCTTTTGAAAAGTTACCACCCCAGTGACAACTATGCAATTGCAAAAAATATAGTTTGTTTATATTCTTCAAGTAGTCCTGTGTACGTTTATGATCTGCATGTTTATGCATGCTATATATAATGCTACACTTGCTATCAACTAAATTTGCATTTCTTGAAGGAAACCGCAGTGCTTGCAAAGCAGCAAAATAAATATGCTAAGGTAATGTAATACTAGGCTTTGAGCAAATCATCACAACAAACATGGGATATGAGATTTAATGGCATGCACGTTTTGTTTTTAATCTATCAAAAATGTATCCAAATACCAGTTTTAAATTCAAAATGTTAAAATATACCATCATCTAGTAAAAGTTCAACTACTGTGTTTGCATGCATATGAAAGTCAACACCCGCTTTGAGCGCACCTATAGATTTTGACAGTTTTTGTACCTTTTTTTCTGATAGTGTAGGAAGTTAAATATGCAATTGCAAAAATATTGTTTATATTCTTCAAGTAGTCTCAGGTAAGTTTATAACCTGTGTTATGAAAAATACCATGCATGCTATAAAATGCTACACTTGCTATCAACTAAATTAGCATTTCCTGAAGGAAACCGCAGTTCTTGCAAGGCAGCAAAATAAATGTGCATGTTAAATCACTTTTGCACAACAAATATGGGATATGGGATATGATGGCATGCACTTTTTATTTTTAATCAATCAATAATGCCTCCAAATACCTGTATTTAATTCGAAACGTTAAAATATAATTTAGTCAAAGTTCACCTACTGTTTGCGTGCATATGAATGCAACACCTATTGTGAGTGCACATATAGATGTAGGTAAGTTCAGGAAAACAAGATCAATCACAATTCAGTATTAAAATCTGATATGAAAATATTATAATGACGACATCACTGTCAGTTTAACATTCTATCACTGTAAGCCTATGGGATATTTCCAAAGTTACATCTTAATGAATTTTTTTTTTTTTAAGAAAACTTGAAAAAATTATGTATAAAGTTTTACCAAAAACAGATAGCACAGACTGAAATGATATACAACACACAGTTTGAATCTGCAAATCAAGCAGTTCGGGCTCAATTAATTAGTTTTAGAACCTAATTAGCAAACATTTCTAAGGAATATTAGTATAGCCCTAATATTGTTTTATATACTCAATCATTGTCAAGTTGAATTAATATTAAAAGTTTAATCATAGCTATTAAGCTAATAAAAAAGATTGTTGCATTAATGCAAGCAACCGAGGTGAATATAGTAAAAAAAGAAAGAAAAAGAAACTAATAGATATTATCTTATTTGCCTAGTTGATTGATTACATAAAAAAAATCGCAAACATTTTTTGTATTACAAGTTTTCTAAAATGTTGTTTAAAAATGCAAATTATGCATTATCTAATTAATAATGCACTAATTAGCAAGTCCAATAAAATAAACACTTGTAAGTGTATTGTTTTCTTTCCATGAAAAAACTATGTTTTTGCCTGTAGTGTCTTGCCTTAAGTTTGATCAAACCCACTATGGGCATTAAAAGAGGAAAAACAATACACATGCCATAAAGGCCACATTCAGCCTTCCGTCATGAAGGAAACGTGATTCAGAGGCTGCAGTCAATGTTTTACGAGTTTTAATTCTACATATATACCGCCTCCCCTGCCACAAACCAGCCCCCACGCAGCTAGTTGAGAAACAAAAACTCTCTCTGTCCTATTCTCACACACACACACTAACACACAAACTCACATGTCTTTGTCTCAAACACATACACACCCACAACCCGGCCTCTCCCAGAGCATCTGGTCTTGGGTAGGGCAGCATATGTTTTAATTTTGATTGACTCACCTGTCACCTATACTGCCCTCCTCATTGTTACACCCCACCCCCCCAAACACACACACACGTCCCCCCTTTTCTTCTCCCTGTAAAATACCTCTCCAATCCCCCCATCCTGCCAAACGCAGACCATTAACCATTTCCTATAAGCTGCTGGTAAGAGGAAGGAAACAGCATGCCAGGCTTTCACACAACACGCGGCGCTAGGAAAGTTCTGCGCCCTTGAAGTCCAGCGAGCCGGGGTAAAAGTCACGCTAATTGACGGGTGAGCTTAATTCAAATGAGCCCATAACTAGAATCGGACTAGAAAGAGAGTGGGGTGACCTGCTATAGGGCGAAACTTTCGAAACCTTTCAATCGGCCCCGGCGTCAAACCACTTTGATGTGCTCGACGCTTTTCATCAGTTTCCTCTCTGCGTATGAAAAAGCCATTTCAAGTAAAAAGGCTCGTGAGCACATTTGTAATTTGTCTCCTCTTTTGAGAACAAATGGACGTGGCAAAAACCATTTTCCCTTGTTCTGAGAGAGATCTGAATGAAAGTGCATATGAAAGGTGCGAGGCAGGAGAGAGTGACGGTGAGGACGGACGGAAAGGGGGGCACGATCTCGGCCCGATTTTTCACTCAAGTCAAACCCTATGGAAACCCTCGTCCATGGGCTCTTCGAGAGAGATGGACACAAATGAGGGGGGCAAGTGAGAATAAAGATCCAAATCCTCCACTGTGAAAACTGTGGCAACGGGGAAGTGTATGCACACCTTGTTTGGCTAATAACCTGTAGTCTTGTCAAATGTGAATGAGGGAGTCCTCGGAGCTTATAATTTCACACCCGGGAGGCAGGGGAGATGAGTGTGAATTGAAGGAGGACAGCTCCACGTAGGCGGTTCCCCAGGCCTTCACCACCAGAGCAGAGAAGCCAAGACCACTGACTCCTGGAATAAAAAAAAAGGTCTGGATCAGTCATCAAACCCACACTGAGAGATGCAAGAGTCACGAATACTTACCATAAACCATGCAATGTGACAAACATATTTACTTGACCCTACAGATATCAATCCCTCATGCACTTATACTTGCTTTTTAAACATTTTTTTATTAATTTGATACTTTCAAATACAATAAATGCTAAATGATGCATTAATCTGAACCATCTGAAGAAATCTGAACATTGAATAAAGCCAGGTTCAAAACTCAAAGGTTTTTGCACAGAGGATTTTGGACATATATTTCTATCACTCCATAATTCAGAAAATACTGTCAACAGTTAGGAAAAACAAAAACAAATAAATAATCAATTAATTAATTAAGTCGAAGAAATAAAATGTATAAAATCAAGCAAATGCTATAAGAACAAACCCCTCAAAAAACACTTGCAGTTGTAAGTACTACTAAAGTGAAAATTTCTCCTTTTTTTTTTATTTTTTTTTTTTTACAAAAACTGATTGAAGTTATATATTGTAATCAAAATCTAAAGATGCAAACAGATAAAGTGCAATAAAATAAAAACTTAAATGTGTATTTTGGATACAAAATTTTCCACTAGTTTGAAACAACACTTTATGAAAGGCAAAATAGCCTAAAATCACAAAACTGACTACTGCATGAAAAAACTGCATTTTTGCCTGTAGCATCTTGCCTTCAGGTTCAATACTATCCATTCTGGAGATTATCCCTTAAAATCACCACAAAAAGTCTGCAGATCATGGCCTTCATTACTATGTCCTCGTTCATCTTTAAAGCTGGAGTGAGCAATTTCATCAAAGTTTCCCAGATTCATTATGCTGAAACAACTATAAACAAGTGCTTAGATTGATTTCTCAGAAACGTTGCTCTGTTTGTTTGTACATCTTGACACAGCGAACTGCCTCAACCAATGGCATGTTCGATGGAAACCTGTCTGAAAATAGCCATTATTTTTGCAACTCCAATCGGCGACAGAAATTACATACATCTTCAACACAATTCTTTAAAGAGGGGCAGTATGCAGGGTGCAAACTACGGGGGAGCTAGGGGGAGCTCGGCTCCCCTTAATAAGACATGGGCTCCCCTGAAAACGGGATTTGTGAAATTTTGGGGGGTCTCAAAAAATATTGACAATGTGTTATTTTGACGTGCAATTTCAGTTTTGTGTAATGTGATCATTGTGGATTATTATGTGTAAAATTGCAAAAATATCATTCATTCATGCATGAAGGCGATTTAAACCTAATTCACTTCAATACCGCAAGCGCAAACCCCCCCATAAAAAAAAAACAAGCGGGCTCCCCCAAAGTCCACGGTATAGTTCGAACACTGACATACTGTATAATACCATTCGAAAGTTTGGGGTTAGTCAGATTTTTAAAGAAATTAATAGTTTTATTCAGCAAGGATCCATTTAAATTGATCAGACATGTATAGCATTTTTCTATTTCAAATAAATGCTATTCTTTTTAACTTTAAATTCATCAAAGAATCCTCTATCACAGTTTCCACATAAATATTAAGCAACACAACTGTTTTCAACATTGATAATAATCAGAAATGTTTCTTGAGCAGCAAATCAGTATATTAGAATGATTTCTGAAGGATCATATGATACTGAAGA